TGATCACAGTTAATAATACCAGTGTTGATAACAATAACCATAAAAAAGGTAGTAATGATAATGACAATATCAGTAATCTTAATAGTATCAATAAAACCAGTAAAATAATAATAAAAAATATAACAATATAAATAATAATAATAAGAGCAATAACAGTAAAGAAAAAAATATATATATAAATAAATAAAATAAATGAATAAATAAAAAATAAAAAGATAGTAACACTACTATTACTGCTACTAAATAAAAACAAATCATCAAAATATTTCATACAAAAATCAAAACCACACCTCTGGTCATAGCTGGGTTGTCCCTGCGGTATACTCTGGCAACGTGGTACCGCTTGATGTTTGTGATTTTGTTCATGGCAACATAGCGGGCAAAGGGCACAGTCAAGTCATACCTCAGAGAAAGGATCTCACCACCCTGGTCCTCCAAGTCATAAATGAGCTTTGAATCTTCTCCATATTTTCCAGTAAGTACGTCCTGTTCAAGCAAAAAAACTTGTAAGATTAGGTAGGACATGGTTATTTCTGAAATGGGTATGCCTACCAATTTTATAACCTTTTCAAAACAAATGTAGCAAGGATAATTTGCAATAAATGACTCCTAAGTAGCTAGGTCCACATATTCTAAGAGCAATTAGGAATTCAAAACTGAAAAAGCATCTCCATACTTGCCTTCAATTCAAATACCGGGGTTTCAATTTCAACTGCACCATGCATATGGAACACTGAATATATGATATTAAACACCTGTAAGAAATTAAACATTCTTGTATTCAAAGACAATAAAAATACTTTCTAATCCTTTCTAAACTTCTGATCAATACATATCAGCTATGATGATTTTCCAACTGAAGTTCATTAGGATATTTTCAGCACCACCTTTTTTCAGGATACTAAACACAAATGATATGAATTTGAATGAATAGAATAACTATATTCAGTAAGAAATTTGTACCTTACACCAGCATCTTTTTCAAACATACCTTTCTCCTTACTGCCATCTCAGCGGGGTTATAATCCCTAGTGCCTTTAGGGGTTTTAAGGACAAATTTTCCACTCTTTCCCTTACTATTTTGACCTCCTTTCTTCTGCAATGGAAGTAATTCTAATTAAATACTTTAAAAAGTTTCAAATCTGAGCCACAGTATAAAAAAAAAAAAGTATATATATATACATCTACATATATCCCCCCCCCCCTCTCTCTCTCTCTCTCTCTCTCTCTCTCTCTCTCTCTCTCTCTCTCTCTCTCTCTCTATATATATATATATATATATATATATATATATATATATATATGACAATATATGCTGTCAGATAAAACACTATTCTCCTCATAATACATTTTATTTATTGCATTTACATCCTATTCTATCATATCAAAGAAAAGAAAACAAACCTGCTCTCCTGCATTCTTGGGTGCTTCCTTTTTCTCCATATTTAAATTATTCTTAACAAGGTTTGACAACTGCTCATCAATCTGTAAGCAAGAAAAGATAAAAGTTTGAAATATTTATTGATATCAACAAAGTTAAATGAATATTTCATTATATGACATGATTGGCAAAATAGTCTTTCATTACAATTAAATTAATAATAATAATAATAATAATAATAACAATAAAAAAAAACACCTCAGAATATGATCATCTCTATTTAAATAAATAATTTCACCCTTTGTAAGTGAGTACATGTACTGTTTTTTGTAAATTTTGTTGCACGCAGATGGCTCCACACATGCTCAGCCACTCAAAGGAGTCAATTAGAAGTCAAATGTGAATTCCTCATTGCTGGATTCTTTTTCTCTCTCAGCGGATACTGGTATCATTATCACAGACATTATGATTAAGAGGTTATCAAAATACAGACGGCATAAAAAAAAGTCTTTGCAAAACACAAGAAAAGGGTAAAAAGGTGAGACAGATAGGACTAATACCTGACTCCTTTGTGACTAATCACTTGTGGAGCCATCTATAGGTAAACACAATCAATAAATTAAAATCACTATTTACATGGCATATACATCATACCATCCCAGCACAGGGTTAACTATAACTTACTAGAGAATATAAGGAAAGGAAGAGGATAGAAGACAGACAAACATAGAGAGAGTGAGTTCATAAAACAGTATGTTCCTATTCAGTCATATTCTGAAACACAATCTAAATAGCTGAATATCAGATTGTGATAAAAAAAAAAAAAAAACGAAATTAAAATATGTAAAGGATATATCTCAAGATTCCAAGATTGTAAAAAGATTAACCCACAGTTCCAGTTACATTAATTTCTGTTACTGTTATTATTGTTATGTATGTTCTCATCATTCTTGTTACTATCAAGCCCTTAATAATAGTAATCGACTCTTGAGGCATATATATGTGTAAACAAAATTGATAAAACAAAATGACAGTGGACAATGTTTGTATAATGCACTTCCATCATCAACCATGCTAAAAGCCTATATTATAGAAGTACAACAATCAATTTAAAAGAAT